TATATATATATATAATTTTTTTTAAAGCACTAGTTAACAATATTCACTTAAAAGTCATGAAACCACGCAAGGCAAAAAATTCAACATATCTGGGACCCAGAAACCGCTTCTCTATAAGAACTTTAAAAAAAGCAAACAAAAAGGTGCTCAATCTTCACAGAATTTCTTACTTATGAATTATTCAAAAGGTACTTTTCAAATCATGACATATTCCTTATATTTCCATTTTACAGATAAAATATCTTCAGGGGCAGATGTCACTCTTCTTCCCTTACTCCATTATTCCATTTGGATTAAATAAAATGATGGACACAGGAAAAATAAAATCAAAAAGGGAAAAAATGAAGAACTAAATCAGCTGGATCCATTTTTAAGCTTACCTTCCATAGTCCTCTCGTTCCCTCTTGCTGGTAAATATTAATGAAGTTGCCTATCATTCCTCCTTGAATGGTGTTGTTTTGTGCTTGCATCCGTATCTAGAAATTATTTTAAAGACTAACATGAGAAAGAAGCTAGCACATTTGTCCCCACATATAGATCCCTGAAAAATCATTCAGTCTGTTGTTTAGCAACCATTACAAGAAAAAAAAACTATAATTATAACTATTACTATAATGCTGGCTTAAATATTCTCAGTAAACTAAAATATATACAGATTGGTTCTTAGGCACTTTGGATTCAACAAAAAGCATCTAACAGAGTCTAGATCTAGAACGTCTTGCATATAATAGCTCACTAAGTGTCAAAAAAGAAATTAAATTTTTTAAATAGTCTTTGAAAAGGAAAGAAAATGGCATTTTTCCCTATAGGTTCTAAATAGGAAAGAATAGGATGATAATTCTAAAAATTTAACATTATTAGTAAGAGTATCCAGTAATACCTGGCAGCACTAAGCATGAAAGAGCATATTTCTTTAGTCACTCCAACTCCCTGCTATTTATTTCCAACCAGCTGAATCAAAAGGTAAGCCAGCGAGTTAGCCCTGGGACAGCCACATGATGCCCGTCACACATGGTTACACCTGAACTTACAAATTAACTTTACAAAGGCCATAGTACTCACATGACCAATATTCCAACATAGCATGCTGGATGTAGCTCTCTGCATTTTTAAGAATTAAAAGATATTTCTCACTAAAAAAATGTGTACCTTATTTTGGTTTAGGGGGCAAATACATTACCTCTAACTTCTTAAAAGGAACTGTTATTGATTGCCATGCTAACATGTGAAAATAAACCAAAATACAGGAACTGCCTTTTTGTAACCCTGATATATGGTTTAGAGATTAAAGGAAGTATGGATATTTTTCTCCAGCAATCTTGCACCAACACTGGGTAAAATTATGGTAAGAGTGCCTGCACACATTGTACCTTCACTGTGCATAACTGTAGTGTTCTCAACATGCTGCTTTGATGCTTGTCAGAATCTCCTATTAGACTGAAGGTTCTCTCAGGGGTTTTTGTCTTACTAATTTTTGGATTCTAAACACTAAAAGTACTCCAACTGGTCCAAGGTAGAAGCATAGTGAATTCTGGTTAAATATTTTGGGCAAAAAGGAAAGGGAGGGAGAAAGAGGAATATATGAAAGGGTTCAAAAAGTAACTCACAACTAATTTTTATTTTCTTTAATGAGTTTGTTCCCTTGCCTTATTCCAAACAGGATTTAAGAAGGTTGTAATCCCTAGGATTGTCAACAAGGTCATCTGTTATGTCTAACTGTGGTTAAGTAAATATTTCCAGAAATTGAATTAACCTAAAAATGCATTTAGAAATGGTCATTAATAAGCAGACTTCTGTAAAATTTGAAGCTCATCTACTTTTTAATGAACCAATAAAACAAGGGAGGTTTTCAATGAAAAATTCAAATGGATCCAAACCTAAATTTTTTTTCTGCTTAATCGTCAAAATACTCATTTCTAAAATGAGCTCTACTTTCATATCAATGGGAAACCTACCTAGTGGATATTTATAAGTTAGACTTCACAACACTTAAATTATAAACAGAGTCAGTGTATGTTATATTCGCAGATTTTCATTATCTGAATCTTGTTGTCGGTAAGAAAATGTAGATTGTATCTAGAGATATAAAAAGCACTGCTTACTTTCAAAACATCAGTTGGATTGGCAATGGCTGAGGACATGACTCCAGAGAGAATTCCACAGACCACATTTATCAGAAGGGTTTCATCTGCAAACAAAGACATTATCTGACTTTTCACATATACAGAGCTCTTCATGTGAGTACCTCAAATGCAGGTGTAATTCATTTACATACCATTTGTTCTTAAGAGAATAAAGAAATTTAGATCTTATGAATCAAGTAATTTCAAAAGGATTAGGAATTTTGCTGGCTAAAGGGATTTTATTTAGCAAAGTTTCTTGCAATATGAAAAGGAATGTGAATTATCTCACAAAGTAAATAACCATCTACCAATTCACTTTTGTGTGTAAATGCAGATCATAATAGTAATTAAGACAAGGTATGTCTGGTAGGAGAATAAAAGAGGAATACTCCTATGAGATAACACGGTGACAAAGTTTTAAAGCACATCTTATATATTTAATGTAAATTACAATGAAGCACTTTCAAGGCATCTTAGCTCCTGTTCACCACTCTCATGTAACAGCTAGCTGGAGCTTGCCCCTTTGTAAAAACGAATAAGGTTCTATGGATTAAAGCCGTCACAGAGTCAACCAGCAATGGAGTACTAGAACTCAGTTCTTAATACTAAGAAATGTAGTCACTGCTTTTATGAAATACAGGTAATAATTCTTATGATTTTAGGAAATTCTGCGTTGCCTAGAACGATAACATATGCTCTAGTCTAAGCATTTTGCTCTTTTTAACTTTTACTCCCCTAAATTCAGCTGAACTGACTTGCTGTAAGCACAATTCATTTAGACTTCACACCTAGAGCTCTCCTCGGAGCAGTAAAGTCACAAGTCAGTCAAAGAAAATCTGATACAAAATCACTTGAATAAAAAGACAACCTCCTGCCTACAAGTGGAAAAAAGATTCCCCACTGACCTTCTGGGCGTTCCACAAATAATCGCTTCAAGCTCTGGTAAGTGCCGATCTTGATGGTGCCATAGGAAGCCTGGCGTAACATTGCAGGGGCAATCCTGTCAAACCAAGTACAAAGGGACAAGAAAATTCTAAAAATCACTTACAATCTTCTAGAAGAACCACAGGCAGAGATACAATCACCCATTTGCCTTCTACAAACTACACAAAACAGATTATCTTAAAATTAAAAATCCAACAAACACTTGGGTTTTTTAAATTGTTTTTTATTGATTTCAGAGAGAAAAAGGAAGAGGGAAAGATAGAAATATCAATGGTGAGAGAGAATCATTGATTGGCTGCCTCCTGCATGCCCCCATTCTGGGATCAAGCCCCCAACCCAAGCACGTGCCCTGACCAGGAATCGAACTGTGACCTCCTGGTTTCACGGGTCAATGTTCAACCACTGAGCCACACCAGCTGGGCAACATAGTTTTAAAAAATATATAGGTATAATCCAAAAAGGTTATAAATACCTGAGCAAATTATTATCTCACTAAGTGAAAACTCAGCCCCTCATATTTATTATCAATGAAACCATAAGTGAACATGTGGTTCTATTTGCCCATTCATGTTAAAATGAAAAAAGGCTTTGCTTTCTCAGTGCAGTGCATCTAATGAAATCTGGCCTCTGGAAGCATCTATCGTTCTTGTGTTGATGCTCTGGAGCCCACCTCCTACCTCCTTGGGGGGGGCCCTGTTTCAGCTTTTTCCTCTCCCTCCCTGACCCCTGAACCACCTGTGGCATTTGTACTCCAAGCACTCAGCACTTCCCACTTTCTTCTCGAATTGCAATCTGGCTTCCTTCCACCTTCTCCATCAAAGCAGGTGGCCAACCGACATCTGTGTTGCTAAATTAAATGATGCTTTTCAATTAGCATCTTACATAACATCTTGCAGTATTTGCTACTCCGCCCTTTGTCTTACTTGCAGCTGTCTCCTCCCTGAGTTGCCACAACATCGCCCTCTCCCATTTCTTTTCTTTCCTGTACGCTGTAGAGTATACAGCATCCTACCGCTGTCCCCTGGGGTTTCCCCGAATCTGTCCTATGCTTTCATTTCCCCTTGCTCCACACACTGCCTGGGTGAGCTCAGCTATTGCCATGGCTTTAACTGACCACTCCTAAATTCATGTTTCCAACATGGATCCAAAGATACATTTCCAACTTCTTCCTAATTTGTCAATTCACACGTACTATACCTACCTCCAATCAGGTAACCCACACTGCATTAATTATCTTCCCTGTCTAAACAATCACCTCTCCTCTTCTGTATCCTAGACAATGGCCAAAACCAGAAATTAAGATACTAGCTTTGATTCCTACTCCTCCACAGATCCCCTCATATATTAGGTCAAACAATATGTCAATCCTATGCCCTAGCTAGCTTTCTAAACTGTCTTCTTTTTCTCCATCCCCAAAACAAACACCCCAGGCAGATCCTTGTCTCTGCTTCCTAAGTGACTGCCTCCTTCCAGTGTTACTAGTCTCTAATTCTTTCTCTGCCCGGCAGGCAGGCATTTTTTTTAACAATGAAACTTAATCATCGTAGTTCCTCTACTTGAAACCCTTCAGTGGCTCCTCTCAGGCACAAGTGTAGAAAATTCAAGTACTGCCCTAGCTGCTTTGGATCAGTGGATAGAGCGTCAGCCTGTGGACCAAAGGGTCTCAGGTTAGATTCCAGTCAAGGGCACATGCCAAGATTGTGGGCTCTAACCCCAGCAGGGAACGTGCAGGAGACAGCCGATCAATGATTCTCATGATTGATGTCTCTCTCTCTCTCTCCCTCTGCCTTCCTCTCTGAAATCAATAAAAATATTTTTTTAAAAAAAAATTCAAGTATTTACAGGCACTCAATAGAAGCTGTACTGATAAAAGTGGGCTGGATAACTGCACACACACACTATGTGAGTGGCAGAGGTTTTGGAAAATCAGAGAAAGCACTGTTAAATGCAGTTACTATTATCATAAGTGAATGAATGTGGGCCCAATGTTGATTTCTTTTGAGAAAATGGAATCTCAGATTTTTATGTGCAGTTTCTCATATTTAAAGTATTGGCTCAGTTGAAAAGCAAAATCCTTCAGAGACTGGTGGGTGGGAGGGCTCTGAGGCACCAGTTTGGGGTTGGTGGTATACGGGACAATATCAAGGTGCTTAGCATGGCCTGAGGTTGTCCATGTCTTAACCCCTATTAGCTCTCCATCTGCACCTTTTGCTATTCACCAACTCCTACGCAAAATCCATGCTGAACTATTTGCATTTCTAGGTGTACTATGCTCTCTTGCACTTATTACTGGTTCTGTAGTAGCATAGTTTCTCTCTAACTTCACCTAGCTAACTCTTCTTGATCCTTTAAGACAGGGGTCCTCAAACTACGGCCCACGGGCCACATGCAAATACATTTGTATTTGTTCCCGTTTTATTTTTTTACTTCAAAATAAGATATGTGAAGTGTGCATAGGAATTTGTTCAGTTTTTTTTAAACTATAGTACAGTCCTCCAAGGGTCTGAGGGACAGTGAACTGGCCCCCTGTTTAAAAAATTTGAGGACCCCTGCTTGAAGGTAAGAGCTGGTGCCTTCTGAATTGAGCAGCTTTCCTGAAAACGTGCCTCATCCTCATCCCCACAGTCTGGGGCTGATACCTCTGCCAGACTCTAGTACTTACCAGACTCCACTGTAATCCCCTGTGTATCATCTGCAGCCCAGTAAATGACAGTTCCTTCAGGACAATGTGCCACTTCTGATCCCTATTTGTCCTCCAAGATCCACTCTTATCCTTCCTTCTCTGTTCTGCTCTGTGCCCAGACAGGATCACCTAGTCCCCTCTGCTAGCTGACTTTCAGGTGGATTCGGCCACAAAAGGTGGGAGGGAGGGAGGAGAAAGAAGCAGAGGTACTTCTTCAATCTGGGCACCACCAAAACATCCCTTGACAACTGTTTATTCCTTCAAGGCTCCAGCCATGGTAGTCTCTGCCAAACTATTCCCATCCTAGGGTTGGTAACAATTTCCCCCTTTGCTAGTTTTTAGGTATCTCAATATCCTTCACTTGCTCCCTTAACCCTTAAATGGTCCCTTCATTAAACTCTCTTCATTTAAACCACTCAAATGAATTCTGTTTCTTGCAGGGACTCTGACATAGGCAGGACCCTACTCTTTCTTACTCATTTTCTTATCTAGTGCCTACTGCACACTGTTAATTAAATACTAAAGAAAAGTAGTTC